TTGGGAGAGAGAGAGAGAGAGAGAGAGAGAGAGAGAGAGAGAGAGAGAGAGACTTAACTTAGGCGGCATTTACACTGCATGGTTCAACTGACCGAAACTTAACTTAGGCGGCATTTACACTGCATGGTTCAACTGACCGAAACTTAACTTAGGCGGCATTTACACTGCATGGTTCAACTGACCGAAACTTAACTTAGGCGGCATTTACACTGCATGGTTCAACTGACCGAAACTTAACTTAGGCGGCATTTACACTGCATGGTTCAACTGACCGAAACTTAACTTAGGCGGCATTTACACTGCATGGTTCAACTGACCGAATTCCGATTTTTTTTCCCTCCCATGTGGCACAGATCGGATATGGCCCGCGAACGTGTAAGCAGGAAAAAAGCACATGGATTCCGATATGGAAATAAATCTGATATGAGTCGGGTACGTGCATTTGCACCTGCAGTGTAAGCGGACCTATCGGAGTTCGGTTAAAAGTTAGCAAGATATTCACAGATTCCACTTTTCCTGATCAATAAATCACGAGCAAAACATTTTTACTACACAATTAACGCCTCTTTTCTTTCTTAGTGATGTAGAAAACGAGCTACAAGCGAGTTTTCCTCAAAACAAGCTTTCCTCCGCTCTGTACAAAATACATGGATCTCATTGATTTTTTTAAATATTCAATAAATTCACTGTTATTGGACAAAATGGTCAAAAACTTCACTGTAACACACTGTACTTTCACCAAATTCGGTTCACACATCACTGCTCTCCTGCTGGTTATACTACAACACTTATTTTGACAATAATTGCTTTTGAATGATTTTTATGATTTAAAAAAAAATATTTAATAAATTCACTGTTATTGGACAAAATAGTCAACAACTTCACTGTAACACACTGTACTTTCACCAACGTGTTGTAGTGTAACCAGCAGGAGAGCAGTGATGTGTGAACTGAATTTAAGTTATTGACCATTTTGTCCAGTAACAGTGAGTTTATTGAATATATTTTTAAAAAATTATAAAAATCATTCAAAGGCAATTATTTTCGAAATAAGTGTTGTAGTATAACCAACAGGAGAGCAGTGATGTGTGAACTGAAATTGGAGAAAGTACAGTGTGTTACAGTGAAGTTATTGATTATTTTGTCCAATAACAGTGAATTTATTGAATATTTTAAGAAATCATAAAAATCATTCAAATGCAATTATTTTCAAAATAAGTGTTGTAGTATAACCAGCAGGAGAGAAGTGATGTGTGAACTGAATTTGGAGAAAGTGCAGTGTGTTACAGTGAAGTTATTGACCATTTTGTCCAATAACAGTACATTTATTAAATATTTTAAAAAATAATAATAATAATTCAAAAACAATTATTATCAAAATAAGTGTTGTAGTATAACCATCAGGAGAGCAGTGATGTGTGAACTGAATTAGGAGAAAGTACAGTGTGTTACAGTGAAGTTATTGATTATTTTGTCCAATAACAGTGAATTCAGTGAAACATCTCGCAGCAGTACAGATATTTCTATTACAAATGAAACATCTCTAGTTGACTATCAGAGTATGAATTTCGTTCGTCTGTGTTAAATAAGAGGCGATCTGGCGCCGAAATGTGTTGCTTTTAAAATCACGCTGAGGGCTCGTTGCCGCTGTTACAGTGACGGCGGCTCGTGCACAGACGAGCGCTTTCTATTGATAACCTGGTGTGTGTGTGTGTGGAGGCTCGCTATTCGTTCGGGCGAAATCACAAATAATGCACACAAACATGTCCCTGCTCTTGATATACATTCACTAATGAATACATTTGGTTTTAATGAGGGAAAAAACTATGCAATGGCGGATTTGAACCCACACCTGCTAACTTAACACCGCTAGACCAGCCTATAATGAATGGTTTTGCCTAGGATAAAAACTAGCCTATCGCATTAAAAAGGTTTCTATTAGTTCTGTCAATAAGTAAACTCTTTGCGTTCATATTCTGGACTCATCTGCTTTTCTATAGCCTACACAGTTGGCCTATGCTTTATTAATAGTGAGTGCAGAGTTTGGACTTTTAATATCACTGTCTACTGCATTGAGCCACGTCAAGTTAAGCCCGTGTTGTGTAAACGCAGATATCGGATACGGGTTACTTTTAAAAGAAGGCTAGTCGGGTCATCATAAAATCCGATTTGGGAATCCAGATCTGCACAGTGTAAAAGCAGCCTTAAACTTAACCTTGAAAAACTTAGGATTTGTCTAATATAGATTTGTGAATATGTTTGCAACCGAAAAATTCATTTTGTAAATTTTCCAGGACTATTTAATAAACGCAAACATATGGAAGGCGTCGAAAAGAAAGACTTACCATATTTCCCGAAACGATATCAGTTAGGTATTCCAGGTTTCACTTGTCAAGACTTGATTTGGATAGATGTCTCCTCATGCGCGTATCTTCAGTCATGCTGCGGGCAACATCCGTAGATTCCCCGGTGACAGCTCCTCCTAAGTGGTTGAATGTCGTCAAAGTCATCCCTGACCATGGCTGGACTCCCAGTGCTTGATTTTTCCTTCTTTTTGAAAATTTGCTCCCAGACTCCGAGTCTCTCGGGGGTCACATCTGACCCCTCGGACCGGCACAGATCGGATGCAATGCGTTCAGGCTGTGCAGATCCGACGGCCCCTAGTGCATTTAACGACCATGTGACCGGAACTCAGAAGCTAAGTATTGAAGTGGAAATAATTTCAGAGGCTTTCCTGGACTGTGGATATTTGAAAGAGGTCAAAGCACTACACTGTAAAAGCTTCGGGGGCAAATAATAAATGTTTAGGTATTCAGATGGATTGTGGGGGAAAAAACATAAAAGGCACTGATGTGAGATGCTTAGGCCCTTAAAACGTTGAAGGCAGGTTAACCTTCGGGTTTTTCAGAACAACACAGGTAAATAAGGAATGACAGACTGTCCTAAAAGATCTAGATCTGTACATTTTGATAATGTAATCCCAGATAAAACATTGCCTTGCAAGTGCCATGCAGTGTCCTTTTTCATTGCAGGTCTCATTATGGTCTCAAACCTTCTATAAACACACCTGCTGCATTCTGAAAAGTTAACCATACAAATGTACTTAGAAAACATTTATCGGCTGTTTAAAGCACACACAAACCTTCCACACGTACAGGTTGTAGGTTGACCCACACTTGCTATGATGATGATTATATTGTGTTCTGTTCTCAGTGCTGTTTTTGTGCTCGGGGAAAAAATGTACACATTCACAACAACATCTACTAAAAGTTATGAGTGACAAAGGGTACATTACAGGTATACAGTACATCAAAAAATAGAACAAAGACAACAATGCATGATTTCTTCTCTCTTAGTATTCATGCTGCACACTTAAGCGCTAATTTTGCTAAACTCTGTTTCTTATTATCTATGTTAAGGTAAAAATGATGACTCTTTTACAATCAAAAGCTAAGCCAAGTGATTTCACTGTTAACTGTTATCAAGGAAGGAACGCTCCATGACAGGCCAGAGTGTTTACAAAATGCAAAAATGAGAAGAGTGCGAAGAAATACAACAAATCCAAACGTACAGAAAAAAGGATAGTATATTTCTGTTATTCATAAAATAAAACAATAGTGATAGTTACCTAATTTTAAACGTTATCTGTTTGACAAAATTGACTTTTATAATTGACCATTACTAAGAAGCATGTTGAAAAAAACCTCACCTGTCTCAACTTTAAAGGGGTCATATGATGCAATTTCATTTTTTCCTTTCTCTTTGGAGTGTTACAAGCTCTTGGTGCATAAAGAAGATCTGTAAAGTTGCAAAGACTAAAGTCTCAAATCCACAGAGATATTCTTTATAAAAGTTAAGAGTCAGCCA